ACTTTACAGATCTTCTTTATGCACCAAGAGCTTGTAACACTCCAAAGAGAAAGGAAAAATTTAAATAGCATCATATAACCCCTTTAATATAGCTAGATAATGTAATGTTACCTTGGTAACATCACAGAAAACCAGAATTTATTTCTATGATATAAATTTCTTAAACAACATATTGCGGACTAATACAATGCAGCAACAATTTTACCAATTTTGCATTGTAGATTAAATTAAGTACACAATTTCTACAAATTATAGATCTCTGCATTTGTAAATGAGGGCTGATTTAAATGACTAAAATCTGTTGAATCTTATTAGGGTAACTAGTCCTTTGTTAAAGGGTTAGTTCACCCAAAAATGAAAATTGTCATTAATTACTCACCCTCATGTCGTTTCAAACCCGTAAGACCTTCGTTCATTTTCGGAACACAAATTAAGATATTTTTGATGGAATCTGAGAGCTGTCTGACCCTGCATAGACAGCAACGCAACTGAAATGTTCCCAGTCCAGAAACGTAGCAAGGAGATCGGTAAAATAATCCATGTGACATCAGTGGTTCAATCGCAATTATACAAAACTACGAGAATACTTTTTGTGCGCAAAAAAAAAGAAAAAAAACTTTATTCAACAATTTGTCTCTTCCGCATCACCCTGTAAACAGCGTATGCTGTTCTGTGTCAGCTGCGTCATGCCGGATACGCTGTTTCCGTTCAGATCAAATCACAACAATGTAGGAAACAGATCCTATCTGAGAAAACTCAGAGAGTGAGTAATTAATGACAGAATTTTAATTTTTGGGTGAACTAACCCTTTAAGCCGTAATGTTACTGACCAATCATACAGTGGCATGATAGGGCTGTGCAGTATGGCCTAAAATATTATTACAATATTTTTTTTCCATATCATGTGATATTGCTAATAATCAAGATATTGATTTACCATTAATGGAGAAGGAAATGCTTTCCACATGTTTGTTAGACCTTGAGAATGAATGTAAAGACAACTTTGTCCACAGACAGCTACCTTTTAACAACACTGTATAACTATAAATTATTGAAAAAATACCTTGGTTGTATGATGTTCCTTAAAAATAGTCATCTATTTCTGTAATAATTTCTTCAAGTTAAACCAAACTTTTATTTTGACGAGTTGTCATGAAGGTCTTTCGGTTTTATTTTAATTTTCAGTGTATATTCTTCACAAATGAAATTGTGAAAAGCTTGTGAACAAGTGACTCTCAGGGCAACTTTGGAGTAGGGCTGTCAAAATGACTGAAAAACTAAATTCGAATTTTCTACTTAAATATTATAAAAATTCGAATTAAATTCGTATTTAAAAGGCATAATTTCAGTTAGGGGGGAAAAAAAGCTTTTGGCTTCTCTCCTGAGGCCACAAGAGGGCACATCGAGCAAAATATTATGCCATGTATGTATAGTTTAATACAAAGGACCGAAAACCAATCACAAAGAGTAGGCTACTTTCTTCATTTAAAAACACGAGATACAGTGGGATGGGGAAAAACCGCCATAAAGTCTTGAGACATGCTTTTTAAAAGTTAAACTTACATTAATTTTACATGGCTTTCTAAACATGGCTCTGTCTTGTGCGAGACGCGAGTTCAACGCTGATAGATGTCCCTCTAGAAAATGTGATAAATATACGTTCTGTGTGAACGGCTTGGTTTCAGTTTTGACATAAACAACATCTTCTCCACACTGATGCTCTCGTTTTCCGCAATATATTGAATGAACAACGTAGCAGCGCCGCTTCTAGTGGGTTCAACTGGATAGGCTAACAAAAGCAGTGGGACTTTTATTTTGACGGCGCTGAGAACGGCAGCGCCTGAGCACACAGTGCTCACATTCTCCCTCTTGGTCTGTCTAAAATAGAACGGTTAAACAAAGGAATTAATATGTATACAAAAAGTATTATAACGATTGCTTTTATATTATTAGTAATAGAAAGGCACACATTATAATACTTTCTTGTTTGCCGTCAGCATTCAGCAAATATGCATTTATATCATTTAAACAAATCTTTGAATGACTAATGAGCATTTAACTTCACAAACCTTGCAAACTTAGTCGGATTCAGCTGTGAGATCTTGTGAAGTGTGCATTTGTATCCTGCATGATCGCGTGTTCTCTGTGTGACGGTCGATCCGTGCGAATTGAACGCGGACATTAGGAGAGTTCAGCTTCACTGGAGTGCGATCGAAAAACTTTAAACTCGTGATTTCAAATTATGCTGCGCT